GAAACAGATAAGTTAGTTCTAGTTACAATAATTGTGATGTGCTTGTGGCATTTTGAAAAGTTAAGATTTTTTTTAGCTTGGTGTACCTGAAATAATGTAAGCATGTGTGTGTCGCTCCCTATTTGCAAGTGCAAGTCGTGCGCCTCGATTTGGAAATGGCAAACTTACACCCAAAGCTAATTGGCATTCCTTCCAAAGCACGCTCTGCAGCCACATGTTAATAAAACTATAACGCTTTATATCAACTTTTTAGTTTTTATTATTATTGACAATGGTGTACAGTTAGTAAATACCCATACTATTTTAAAGCCCAACCCTGGGTCAGATGACACTATTCTGTTCTTATTAGTTAGGTGGCTCCACTTATGAGGTGATTAGTCAGTTACTATGCTTTAATTGATCAGATGCCTCCTCTCAGTTTTTATTGTTCAGATGGCTCCACTTCTTCACTGATTGGTCAGATGACTCTACTTTTTCTCTGATTGATCAGATGACTTCCAGAAACATCCATTACCACATTTGAATTTTATCTGCTGACCTTATACATTAATAAACAGTAACATTATGACCTTTTAAATGCTAAAAACTCCCCTTCCTGTCTTCTTTTGGACAAACTAACACTAGCTGAGCTCTAAAACGAATAGATAGCGGTATTTTTGACTCTTCAGAAATTCTCTGTTTTTTTTTTTTTGTTTTTTTTTTAGCTAGAACTCATTTATTTGAAGACATATTCGTTGCAGGTGGTTTGCTTTACATCGCAGAGAAGAGTTGAGTTATATTTTTGGATTTCATTTTAAAAGATCTTGTGCAGAATAAATGTATCCTTTTAATTAGAGAAAAACATGACATTCAGTTCATACTTAACTATATTGTTTATTATTGATAAACTCTAAAGTCCACATGAACAGAAGATATAACTGTTTTTTTTTCATATTGTGTGCAGTTCCTAGAGAATTGGAATATTAAATGACAGATCTTTTTCAAAACATTTTACTACTGAAAACTAAATGGATGTTGTAAAGTTGGCATTTCAATCAGAAAAATCAGGAAATGGGTTTTAGAAGAGTTATTACAACGTAACAGACACCACCTCCTCACCATTTTGCTTTGTTGGCAAAACTGAGAGTTGGTCCTAAAACATACATAATTGACAATTTAACTGAAAAAACAGGAAGTGCATTTTTAAAAGGCAAACATTTTTTAAATGGCATGCATAGATAAATTGTTCACCACAAAACTAACAATGTGGGCTAACAAAATCATATGGTTAGTCTTGATTTCATTTGTACTTCAATAAAAGTAGCTACTTTAGTATGCATTTACTATGAGAAACTGTATACATATACACACGTATTGCATATATATTGCCTTAATGACATAATAATTTGTTTTGGCACGGTGACTCAGTCGCCTAACGGCAAGAAGGTTGATGGTTCGACTCCCAGCTGGGTTTCCTCAGAATGCTCCAGTTTTCCCCTAAATCCATGCGCTATAGGTGAATTGGATGAACTAAATTTGTCATAGTTTATGACTGTGTGTGAATTTGACAGTGTTTTGGGTGTTTTCCATTACTGGGTTGTGGTTGGAAGGTTTCATTCTGCTGGTTGCTGGTTTGACCCCGGCTGGGTTAGTTGGCATTTCTGTGTGGAGTTTGCATGTGTTGGAGTGGGTTTCCTTCGGGTGCTTCGGTTTCCCCCCCAATCCAAAGACATGAGTGTAGGTAAATTGAATAAGCTAAATTGGCCACAGTGTATGTGTGCGAATGCAAGAGTGTATGGTTGTTTCGCAGTGCTGGGTTGTGGCTGGAAAGGCATCTGCTGTGTAAAACATATGCTGGATAAGTTGGTGGTTAATTCCACTGTGGCTACCCCTAATAAATATAGACACTAAGCTGAAGGAAACTCTTTATTCCCCACAGCTACATGTCTGGCCATCTCTCAGTGAACGTAATCTTCACATCATGATCAATCCCATGTTCCCTTGCACTATCAATAGTTTTAAACACAGTTGTAAACATCTTTAGATTTAATCCTCACACTGGTTTTGTGGGAATTGAACAAAAAACTGTTGGCCCTATCATACACCTGGTGCAATAAGACGCAAGACATGTTTGCCATGACGTGTTGCTATTTTCAGAGCAGCGCAACCCTAATTTTCCCGTTTTGCACCACATTGTTTAAAAAACAAATCCATTTGCACCACTTGGTGGACTCATGGGTGTTCCGGTTTAGAAAAGAGGTGTGGAAAGGGTCACAAAACACCAAAACACATTTATGAGCTTTTGACAGTCTTATATGTGTCCCACATTGCTAAAAACACTATTAGGACACATATATTTCACTAAAAAGTAAAAATTGGTTGGTTGTTTAATCTGGATTTAAGAGTGGATTACAGTGCATGCGACGTGCCATAGAAATACATGTCTGAATAACATTGTTTACCTGAGAGCTGTTCTCATCTGGAAATGGTAAAATCTGGATTTGCCGCTCATCTCCTTTTAATGAAGACGCGGCTCCAGTTGGTGTTGATTGTCCTGTCTTCACAGAATTGGTAAAGGAGTGATCAGAGGTCTTTGCTTCTTTATTCAGAGGCAAAGTTAGTTCATATTATCAGCAGTACTCTTTCTGTATTTAAAGACGGGCCTTAGTCAAATGATTTCTAAGTTAATAAAGTTTACCGTATGTTAACATCACTACAATATTATGGACTGAAAAATCTGCTGTAAATGCTGCTCTCTGAGTGTAAATATGAAAGCACCACAACCAAACTTACCGTCGTGGAGGATTTTCGCCGCATTTTGTGACAGGAATAACACACACGGCTTTCTGACGCTGCCTACTGAGTGCATGTAAAAGTTGAAAAAGGTTGAATTTGATCATACAATCGGTTACATTTTTTTGTTATAGTGTCACCATGTGGCTAATGTCTGTGTTGTTTTGTGTTGTCACCTCACAATGATGTATTACATAATGGCCCGTTTCCACTGAGTGGTACGGTACGGTTCGGTTTGGTACGCTTTTATGGCCGTTTCCACTGTCAAAAGGCGTACCGAACCAAACCGTACCGTACCACTTTTTCGGGACCCTTTCAAAAGGGTCCCAAACTGCAGAAAGGGTCCCAAAAGGTGGAGCTACACGCGCAGCTGAACGCTATTGGTTTACAGAGATACGTCATTCGTAGACTCAACAAGCCAGAATGTAAACAAAGGACCCGCCATGTTTGAAATACACAGCAAGAGATTACAGCGGAATTATAAATACATATAAAGCCATGGTCAATCCTGCAAACAAACCCTGTCGTCGTCATGATAAACAGCCACAAAGCCATGGAGAACAGCAGATTCACCCTGTGCCGCGTAGTTTTTAACGAGCCCGTCTGAAGCGCTCGCCGCGCGTCTCTATCTGAAAAAACAAACTTCTTGAGCTCATGATAATAACATGCACTTGATTATTGACAAGCTTTGGAAACCCGATCCTGTGAGAAGCTGACAAACGCGAGTGACACATTCAGAAAGAATAGGACAAACGCGAGATTAGAGCGTGGGAAGAAAGGCGAAGCCAAGGAGCACGTTATTTCTTCAGCAAATGTGAACAAACTGCCTTGTTTTAATCTGTATTATCACCTTTTGGACTAATATGAACTGGGAATGATGGAATGACTCTAACAGAGGCTGCATGACGTGCTGCTGAAGATTACAGACACAGAGGAGAGGTTTTCACTGACTGTATAGGCTATACTTTGTGTTGTTTTGAACCTAATTAACGACGAAATGTCTGCTTTGAGTAGTTCTTCTGTAGTTGGTAACATATCGGAGACTGTAAGGGTCTGTATGTGTTCATATATGACCTGCAGTTATAATCAACTCCTGTTTATAGAAAGGTTAGTAATAAACATTTATACACAAGTATTTATGTGTGTAAACCATCTGTTTTGTGAGAAGTGCTTTTCATATTATATGTGAACAACCTGTGCAGCTTTATTGTAGACATTTTCTCGAGCGAAAAAGACATAGACTGAAACTTTGTCATACACCACGCCCATCAAAAGGGTACCCTTTATAGTGGAAACGCAAGCCTGATAAAGGTGATCCGTACCGACCCGAACCGAACCGTACCGTACTGTACCAGTCAGTGGAAACGAGCCATAATTGACCTAATTTTATAAAAGATATCTCAATCCGTTCATGAGTCATACCATTGACATAAACATGGACCAAACGGCCACAAACATTTTGCCATCCCTCAACAACCGTGAGAAACGTGAGAGAAAATTTTCTAATAGCTATTGCTATTCAGCTTACTGAGATTATTTCTACGCTTGCTTTGTTCCGATCAAGTGGAAAACCTAGGACTAGTTTAGGTTTCAGAATAGGTTTCAGATATAACCTAAATTAGTGGAAAAACTTATCTCCTATATCCTAACTCCAATGTAGTAGGATAATGTAATGTTGCCAACTTACATTTTATTTTTGAGTCTACAACAAATTGTTTAGGAATTATGTGCACACTCGCATGAATGAGCTCTACAGTGCCACCTATTGATTAATTTGAACGAGTTTTTGAATCTGACTAGTGGTGAGGATTACTGATCCTCGGACCATATAAGTCTTTAGGTATTACAGTTTGGGCTAGGCTATAGCAAATAGGTCGGAAAAAAACAAATTTTTTAAAAATAACTTAATTGCTTAAAATAACTTTTTTTGTAATAAAATTCATTGATACAGAGAAAGAAAGTATTGACCACATGAAGAAATGGAGGTGTAAAAAGGCATAGAAAGCCCAGATAAAAAAGTCTGTTTTTGTTATGTATTTTTATTTTTTTTTACCAAAATCTAGGTCGATTTTATGTCAACAGCTCCTTTAGAAAATACCAGGAAAAATCAATACTTGTTTTACCTGCTGTATGTATTTTCCAAAGAAATCAAGGGAATTTATCATTAAAACAATGTATATTTCGAGTATGAAATCCAACCTTTTTATTTTCATTTCTCTGTTCCACAGGTTAAAAAACTTGCAGATTTTTATTGCTGGTATCTGACCATTACATCGCTGTGCCAAACATTGCACCCCATCTTCTCTTCCACCCCATCCCACACCTAAAAAACCATCATGACGACCTCTTCGTTACGAAGGCAGGTCAAAAACATTGTAAACAACTACACAGATGCTGAAATCAAGGTCAGAGAGGCAACTTCCAATGACCCCTGGGGTCCTCCTTCCTCACTCATGATGGAAATCTCTGATCTGACCTTCAACGTGGTGGCTTTCACCGAGGTCATGGGCATCATCTGGAAGAGGCTAAATGACCATGGCAAGAACTGGCGGCACGTGTACAAGGCGCTTAACCTGCTGGAATATCTGATCAAGACTGGGTCAGAGAGAGTGGCCCAGCAGTGCAAGGAGAACATCTACGCCATCCAGACCCTTCGGGACTTTCAGTACATTGACCGGGATGGACAAGACCAGGGCATGAGTGTGCGGGAAAAGTCTAAGCAGCTGGTGGCTCTGCTGAGGGACGATGAGCGGCTCAAGCAGGAAAGATCGCAGGCACACAAAACCCGTGAGCGTGTTACAGGGAGCACCAGTGCCATGGGTTACGGGTCTTTACCGCCACCCTATCCGGGACGCCACCCTAGTCAGCCCAGCATGCAAGCAGTTCATGTGGACGAGTTTGCCAGGCCTAGGGACTCACCAGCCTCCTTCAACTGTAAGTGTTACCATTCATACTGTTCTCAAGCTACATTTTTTCACTGATTGATTTTACTGACTGCAAAAATCAGTTTCGAGATCACAATCAATTTAATTCGATTATAAAACCATCGAGATAATTATGCTGTAATAATCACAGCTGTCTGCATATCTTCTCAGTGCACTACAACTGTTGTGTAGTAAATGCTGTACATGAATTGACACATATAATAGCATGTTCTTACTACAAACTCACTTCATAAATTTAGTTTGAAAGTGTGTTTGATATAAAACCTTCTATAAGATGCATAGACTGTTAAAGATATGGACATAGTATCCGTGACGTCACCCATAGGTTTCTAAAGAATGCGAAAGAAGCTACAAGTAGGTGTGACTAACCCTCGCCATTTTGTTCGCGTGGGTGATACCAAACAAGGACTAAGAGGCAAAGCGTGAGCTGAGCTACAGAGGCCTGCTAGCATTTTTCTTAATCAGGCTTTTCTTTGAGAGAAATACTTAATATTTAATTACCTGCAACTTCTTTATGTTCTGACCATATGCGCTTGGTTATACACTTTATCAATAGTTTTTAGTGTTTTAAAAAGTGTTTAGACTTTTAAAAACACTGTTTGTAATACATTGAGCCACTTTTTTCTGTTCTTATTATACAGACACACACACACACACACACACACACACACACACAAAACACAAACAAACTTCAAAAATGCTTAAAAAGGGTCATGAAACACCAAAACACATTTTTTGAGCTGTTGACAGTGGTATATGTGTCCCACGCTGCTAAAAACACTATTAGACATATATTTTACAAAAAAAGTGAAAATTGGTTGTTTTTGCATTACTTTCAGCAAATTCATTATTTCGGTTTGAAACACATTTTTGTAGCTGCGTCACAGTGATTAGATATTTGCATGTATTCCTGCGTGGAGGGTGGACGTCTGTACCTTGGAGTTCTTTGTGATTTGATTACTGTACTCTCGACACATGGCAGAAATATGTTCGTAAGGAACATTTTTACCCAAGAGCTTTTCGCATCTGGAAATGGTGAAATCCATAAAATAAAGCATAAAATGTTTCGGAATGAAAGTGAAAGTGCCAAAATGCAGTTAAAGTCGACAAATTAACGATTTTTTCAAATAATTTAATTACTGATGTCCATGTAAACAGTCACTGTCTTTCTCCCTTGCATCTGTGTGTTTGTTTTGCTTCTGTGAAAATCTGCGCATGCCCAAACCGTCATTTTTATCCAAAACCTTCCCTCTTTCCCTCCCCCGACACTCTCACGTAAACAGAGGTAGACACACCCATTTTCCTGGCTTTTTCCAAACTAAAGGTGTGAAAACACCTCACTGAAACAGAGGGGTTTCATGGCCCTTTAAAATCTAAAAAAATTTCCAGTGATGGATTTTTTTACTTTTAAGGCAGTCTGATAACTGTATGAAGCTGTATTCAATCATTTATAATGCACAGCTAGATCTGCTTTTAAAAAATGCAAGATGTTTTAGTGTCGTTATGACATAAACTGTGTTTACATTAATTTTGCATCACTAAAGCATTTTACAGCTCAGCCCAAAATATATAGAATTTTTTTTACAAGCACGCAAGGGATTGCACATAGTGTACATGATACAACTGTTATTATTAGTACAGTATTCACAGTAGGGTTGTAACGGTATGAATTTTTCACGGTATGATAATCGTCTAAAACAATACCACGGTTTGACGGTTTCGCGGTATACGGTATGTTACAAATGTTACAAAATAATAGAACAGTGAAGCAAATTTGACTTTTTCCAAATAATATATTTTTTAGTTACTATAAACAACACCACTTACAATGAACAAATAAAAAAATAAGAAAATAATAAATAATGTGTCAAAGTCCAAATAAAGTCCAAATAAACATGGTGCAAATCCTCAGTAAAAAATAGATATAAATATTTACTATACTATAAATAGTTACATAACGAAACTAGATTCAATATGGAACATCCTTAGGTTTTATGTGCCAGCATGGATATGGTTGTCTGTGGATATGGATTTGGATGTGGTTGTCTGCAATGCAGACAAACAGCTGCACCTTCATTTGTGTCTTTTGAAAACAGCAAGAGCAGCAGTTCGTCTTTGCTGTGTCACTGTTTTGTCATGTTTCTGTGCTGCTGTGCATGCAAAAGTACTTAGTATGAGAATTATTTCATGCAAAACTTTTTTTTTTTTTGCGTTTTATTTAGCCGCGCATAAATGTATGCCTTTCTCTCATTCCGTGTTGTTCAAAAAGCTTGGTCCACAAACAAAAGCGAAACCTATGCTTATTGGTTGTGATATAGCGAGTTTGAACCAATCTGAGCATGGAGGAGGGACAATGCATCAATGTATCATGTCTGATTTGTCCGGAGACACAGTGACGAGCGTTTCTTTGTCAAATCAGCGTTGTCAAATGTTGATGACGTAACTGCACTGATTCCGGAGCCTCTGAAAGTCCGAATGTTATGTGATACAGCACTGGAAAGCTGAGACTCTCTTCTTTATGCCAATCTTTGAATTGTATGAATCGGATCAGCGGATCAAAAGTTATTAAACATTTAAGAGCAATACTTATTTTTAGCCGCGGGCGGCTGTCTCGGTCTTTAAGGGTTAAAACCGTTGATATGCAATTGTTCATGGTATGATAATCGTGCACGTTCAAATCGTGGTAAACCGTCATACCGGTATATTGTTACAACCCTAATTCACAGAGTCATATGTTTATAATTGTGCATAAATCAATGCAGCTTGCACATTCACTTTGAATTGTTTCTGCTTAGTTTGTCAACAAGGCATTAACATTGTGGTATCAGTGGTTGTTTTAGAGTAAGAAAAGAAATGGAAGAGACAAATTGCTCAACAACAAACTACTTGTCTTGGAAATGGTTTTACCATATCAGTCAGCTTCAGAAGTTAAAGGGCACCTAGGTTACCCTTTTTTTCAGATTTATTATAAGTGTTTTGCATCTCCAGAATGTGTCTGTAAAGTTTGGGCTCAAAACACCCATAAGGTTTTTCATTATACCATTTACAAGATTCTATTTTATACAATTTTGCACCAGGGGGCGGTTTTGTTGTACTGCGCCATTAAGGCTAGTCCTCCCCGCCTACTGTTTCTATGTGCCTTTCTGCTTGCCTTAATCTCCTCCTTCGGCTGCGTCAGACAACAGACTTAAAGGTAGAAGATCTCATGTAGCGTTTGTGAGAAATACTACATTAAGGACTTTACCAATGAGTATTTGTTGTGGAGTTGCATCGATGAGTCACACACAATGTCTTTACAAAGTAAAGTCTTAAAAAGTCTTAACGCACACACACACACACACACACACACACACACACACACACACACACACACACACACACACACACACACACACAAACACAAACACAGACAGACGGAGAGTGTTTAGCTTAGCACTCTTTTTGCACGCATATGTGACAGGATACAGGTTAATCTCCACTGCTGTATGGATATCTGTTATGTTAATGTACAAAATAAACCTGATTTAATGTACACAAAGCGGGATTGAAGCATCTTGAAGCATCTTTATAATTTATAATTGTTTGACACGCGGCTGTGCTAATAAAGTAAAGCTGAAGTTAATTGCTGTTCTTCATTACACACATGCACAGTTTTAAAACATTTTAAACTTGTAAAACTCACTCTTCTTGATCACATTTGATGATGATTGATGATCCTAGCAAACTGAACAGACCTTTTATTCCCGGTTGGTTTGCTCATGTCTGGTCTTGTTGATATGATTACACGCGTGACTACTGTGACATGTTAACATGTGCAGATGTCAATAAATTAGGTGGGCAGGGGGACGTACTCCTACATCAAGTTGCGGTCGGTCTGAAAACCACTCCAGTTGGTCCACCGTTTTTATGTTGTTAAATTGAAAAAAAAAGGACTGGGTGTGTTTATATCACCCCAATGTGATGGTCTATACACTATATCTACACATATGTCTGTCCAAACAGCTTGAAAAGTAGATTTTTTCACCATAGGTGCCATTTAAAGTCTATGTGAACCAGAATTTGCTGCAGACTTTCATGTCAGTATGATGACATATTTCCAACTGAACAGAATAAAGAGTAGGGGGCAGAGTTTTATTTTTTGCACCTCCTTTCCTCTTGCAGCAAACTAACTGTTGGAGAGGCAGGACTAATAATATCTTACCCAATCAGTCAAACTGACCGAATCATCAAAGAAGGACTGCCATTCCAGAGCAAAATTCCATTTTTAAACAAACTTTGGAGTTTTTCTTTCAGTTTTTATATAAAGAAAATATATCAGCAACAGTGATGCAACAGTCTCTGGACTTCATCACAGAAACCAATATTTTATATAGTGGTATATACAGTGCATCACTTTTCCCACATTTTTAATGTTACAGCCTTATTCCAAATTGGATTACATTCATTTATTTCCTCAAAATTCTACACACAATACCCTATAATGACAATGTGAAAAAAGATTATTAAAATTGTTGCAAATTTATTAAAAATAAAAAACCTGAAAAATCACATGTAAATAAGTATTCACAGCCTTTGCCGTGCAGCTCTTTATTGAGCTCAGGTACATTCTGTTTCCACTAATCATTCTTGAAATGTTCTGTAGCTTAATTAGAGTTCACCTGTGGTAAATTTAGTTGATTAGACATGATTTGAAAATACACCTGTATACAGCTGTCTTTATAAGGTCCCTGGGTTGACAGTGCATGTCAAAGCACAAACTAAGCATGAAGACGAAGGAATTGTCTGTAGACCTGCAAGACAGGATTGTCTCGAGGCACAAGGCTGGGGAAGGTTACAGAAAAATGTCTGCTGCTCTGAAAGTTCCAATGAGCACAGTGGCCTCCATCATCCATAGGTGGGAGATGTTCGGAACCACCTGGACTCTTTCTAGAGCTGGCCAGCCATCTAATAGTGTGAGAAGGGTCTTAGTCATAGAGGTGATCAATAACC